AATGCCCCACAGTGCCAGAACAGCTCTGCAAAATACCATCCATGACTCCACAGTGACGACGGGGTCAAAAAGGAAACATGACTGCTGTCTGAACAGAGAGGCAGGGATGATTTAGTTTTGCAGGCAGAGGTGTAAGTTCAGCCTGCACGGCTAAAGAATGTGAAACTCTTGCTGATCACAGGGAGACCAGCAGCATGAATCCCAGAGGGGAGAACTGCTGTCTGCCTTGGGGCAGACGGGTGAACAAAGCCAAGCAGAACAAGAATCTCACAACTGTTTCAAGATCAACTGAAGTACGCGTTTTGTCTGCTACAAATGCCTGCTCAAAGAAAAAAAGAAAGAAAATGTCTTTGAATAAGGCAAGGGTCACAAACTGTAAGTGTTCAATTTTTTCATTAACAAATACATTATTGATACAATCCAGAATGAAATAGAATGACCAGTAAGATTCCAGTTCTGCGTAACTTTATTACACTGAAATGGAAAAAAACATAGACACTACTCTATAGACACTCTCAGTGAAAAAGAAAATCCACATAACCTTTCTAGGGAAAATCATATAAATGATCTTTTCATCTAAATTAGTATTCCTCACAATACTGATTCCACATTTGGCATACACCAGCACATCTAGCACTGACTCAACACATCCTATCTAATCCCTGAAAAGAATAGGGAACTTGATTTTGTGTAAAGTTAAAATCCCTTAGAGGACTACTTCAAGTATAATAAAGTACCATACGTTGATAAATTAATATACTACAGTATCACTTTTTCCTCATTACCTTCTGCTAATAATTACAGAAAAGATTCAAATGTAATGTAAATGACCTCAATTTTGCAAATGCTTAATCACAACCAGTATATGACCCATTTCTCAACACATCCATTTAAAAATTTATTAAAAAAGCATATTAAAAAAACCCACTAGAACTTTACTATTACTTTCATCTACACATCTGCTATATATATATGACCCTTTCAGCAGCAAAACGAAAGCAAGGAACTAAAACCACTGACTTTTTTTTCATCAAAATTGAATTTTCCTTTTAAAACCTATTTAAAAGATGGTGACAACTTATAATAATTACTTATTTATTTTTTAAACACATGATCTGTATTTACATGCAGGTATATGCAGATGGTTTATATATTATTAATTTCCCAAATATTCTAAGTCACTCCGTTCCACTAACACATAGAGGAGTAGATATGTCTTAATGTGCTTTAAATCTTTTGTATATACTCTTTGATACACCTCTTTATTGAGAGTAAACCCTAGTATTCAAGCCCAAAAGTATCTTTCATATGCCAGATAAAGTCCCAGTTTCAGTTCAGCTATAAAAGCTAAAATATGTTACCTGTCCTTACAGACACAGTAGGCCACAGCATAGCATATGGTCTGTTACAGCTACTGAGGTTTTTAATTATTACTTACATGGGCAGAGAGAACAGTTCAAAGCTACTTCCAGCTGAGCACCTGCTGCCTCCTACATGCCTGACAGAAGATGTGCAGCATGCATGGTCCAACCAGATCAAGTGGTGTATATACACCAGCTTAAGCCGTAACTGTGCTGCAAGCATTGCTGCCCCGTAGATATAGCAATTTTTCTGCTGCTTAGTTATAAAAGTACCTTCTCACACAGAAAAACTAGTTAACATCTTTTATGAAATACAAAGGGATCAAAAAAAATATTTAGTGAATCTTAAACCAGTAAAACAAAGCAGCTGCCCTGGGATATACTCCACAAACAAGTCAAACTGTTAGGACAATCCCAGTATTAAGCGAACACCAAGCCATAGCGATGAGTATCAAGCTTTATAGCAGCCATACCCTAGCAACAGAAGCAACTTTTATCCAAGTCTCTTATTCAACTTCGTAAAACACAGACCTTTCTCTCATTCTCCGCTCTTTACTTCCCGCTGTCATCTGTCCCCTACCACGAAAGCAGTAGCTCTCAGGACATGAAGCGCTGGGGCTTTGGAGGGATTGTGACAAGGGACACAAGGAACAAGCCTGGTAACTAAGGGCATATGGAAGTCCCTAAAGTGCAGGTTTTGTAGCAAAGAGATGAGGAATGGCTGCAGGAGAACAGAACCAGCTTTTTCTTTTTAACTTGAGTACAACAATTTGGGGAAGGAAAAAATGTGGGTGAATTTCAGCATGTTCAGACCATTAGTCCTAGCAGGGCACTGAGCTGGAGATGCAGCACTTGGGGGATGCTAGAGTGTGGGAAGGTGTGCACGTTTGTGGCGTAGCAAACAGGAGTCAGCCACTACTGCAGAAAGCGAGAAGAGAGCCCTGAAACTTAAATGCTTGAGAAACTGCCACAGCAATTTAGTCTTCATACAGGTTTCAATGGATAACTAAGGAACCTTTTTCTTCAAATGGCATAGGAAAAGCCACAGCTCTTTCTTAATTGCCTGAATGGTGTTAAAAAGGCACAGAAAAGGACTAGGCTTACCTCTTTGCGATATCAGCACATGTGAACAAATTCAGTTCTGTAGAGACACAGTGGCACATGATCACAGTAAATTAGATCTTTTATTGCTTTGAAGCAGAAACAAATATATAATTTATGTGCATTCATGTATGTAGGCATAATAAACACAAACCTCAGGAGAAAAGCATGAACCACTATCCCTTTTAAAGAGTTCAGTTTTTAATTAAATTTCAAAACAAGCAGGGAAGTTGTAGAAAATAATGCAGCATAAGCATTTTTTTATCTAATGTAACGGTTGAGAAGAAAACCCTTGGTCTTAAAATAATTTTTGCCCCTTTTGAAGTCAGTTGAAAACTTCTAATTTAAAGGAAAATTAATGAAAGAGTAATTTCTTGGTAGTATGGTAACATCATCTTCCAGCTGGAATGCCAGCTGGAATTCCAATGGGGTTATAAGGCAATGAAAGTAAAATCTTGAAGAAAAATAAATTTATGTTTGTCCTGACTGTGTCTCCACTTTTAATTTGAAAGCTTTCTAAACAAAGGTGTGTGGAGCAGTGTGTTCTTATTTTGAAAGATTTCTAGCTTTGCCTTTTTTTCTTAAACTTTGTATTACAGATTATGAAAATATGGAGACTTAACAACAGCCATCTTTGTAAGATTTTTATATGTGTCCATGTGTTCAAAAGCCTGCTATCCACGTCACCAGTTCCCCAAAGCATGACATAGTGGCACACGGAAGGCAGATTTCATTTTGGTAGCAATATTTGGAAGTACAAAGTGGACAAAGACAAAGGACCAAACATTAGAAGTAAACACACTCCTTTCTTTTTAATCAATATCTTGTTAGACTGGTGTGTTTGACTCATTAATCTTTTGGTAAGTGAAAAATGAAACAGATTGACCATTACAGCAAAAAGTAAAATAGCAAATTAAACTCTTTCTAATGAAATTGCTTGCAAAGAGTGCTGCTTCGTCATGCACAACTTTCGTCAAAAGAGTTTGGACTTCAGAGTACCCATTTCTTTGAGGTAATGTATTTAGAGGTAAATTCTGAATCCAAAGACCTGAAAACAAACTTTCTAAACTCTTCCTCTTGTGTATACTTTTAAAGCCATGCAACTTCCACCAAAAAAAGTAAAAACAAAAGTATTTTCTGTCTAATACCTTTGAACAAATCTGAAATTGAACTTCATATGACCACTGTGTTGCATCTAAATGATCACTATATTAAAACGGAGATGGACGTACAAAAAACTAAAACAATAAAATGCCTGGAGGTTTGCAATGAATTGTTTTTCATTTCTTCAGCAACTGCTGCATAGTGATTGATCTAGTACGGTACAACACAGGAAATTAGCAATTAAACCTTCCATGCATCCAGCATTAGATTCTACAAATCCTGTTAACCACAGGAGCAAAATTAGAAGAACAAGACAAATCAACAAAACTGAAAAGTGCTTATTGTAAGCTGTATGGAATTTGTCCTTTGCTGAAAAACATGAAAACTGCACAGATTGCACACACAAGAGTATTTAGTGTAGGATTATAACTCAATTTAAACAACTATTTCTCTGATCATGTAATTCTAAGGCATTTTGCAGATGTCTGCGAATCCCAGGCTGTAATACAAATTTCTTTCTGTTCTCCAAAGTATAAACTCACATTTTATGAAAAGACACATTTAGTGTTCTGTCTAGGAGAATAATCTTCACAATGTAGGTTGAAAGATACGCTACTGTTCTAGATGAATCTAAAATAAGGTAAACCAAATTAACATATACAACATTAAATGTGAACATCGTCCATATATGTAAATACGGCATTAACAGTAAAGCCTAACTGATATCCTTGTTTCCTTAAGGAATGCTTGGACCATATCCCAGAGCACAGGGGAGACAGATTCCCAGCCCACCAGAAGCCATGCCAACCCCAGAACTGGAGGCTGCGTCACACACAAAGCTGTGCACACAAGTTGCACAAGACTGCAACTTCAGACTCCAAGACAGCCTGGAGATTGCTGCGATGTGTTTCACTACAGGAATAAACATGCCCTTTCTCTGTTCCAACATGAACAAAAGTGCATCTACACTATCATTAATCACATGAGACTGTTTTGCTTCAGATTTGTCAAAACTAATTCAGGCTTGCTGAATTTAGCAACAGATACAGGATTTATCTAGACCGGGAGAAGAGAAAAAGGTTATATAAACTTTGCTAACATAGCCAGACAAATTAAATTGTTAATCCATGCCTAAACAAAAGGTCACTATTAGCTCAGGGCTAACTAAAACTTCTTAGCTAATCTCTGACCTAATTTTGACCTCCTTTGTTAATTGCAGAAATGCTTTCAGTTAATATATTGGTTAGCTGTGTTTACACCCCCCACTTCTGTAGTTTCTTGCCTTGCAGCTCATAAATTAAAGACAAAATATCTTTTTCTAAGACTAATTAGTACCCAATTAGCTCCATGTTGTTACCTAGAGTGGAACTGATAGTAAAGATAAACATTAAGCATTTTAATCTGTTTTATGAAGGAGGCATTTATGAACGTGAAGAAAGGAACATCAAAACCTTTATTTCACTTTTTTTTTCTCTCCAGATCATAAAATATTACTTCATAAAGCTTGTAAAAATACCCAATTCTTTCGCTTCTAGTGATTCCATTAGAAAGAGGTACAGTTATATCACTGTTGGAAGAGAAGAACTAGTTAAATAACACATGAAATCTAATGGATCGGCAATCATTTTAGTAGGTTGTATCCAGACGTAATCATTTGTCATTGCATCATACTTCTTACAGGGCTGTTTACACTGGGCTTAATTCCTTTAATATCATAAGCATTGTATGTCAGGGTATGGGTATGGCGTTTCCATATCCATAAAATGTCCCCTTCTGCGGAGGAGTAGTTTTTGCTCAAGTAAAAGTGAAGCACCTGAGTTATAATTCCAAAACACATTTCTCTACATTCTTTTTTTTTTTTTAAAGTCAGAAGTATTCAGGTTCTGGTAAAAACATACGCGGGCTTAATTTAAAAATTAAGTCTGAGAGAGAAACTAAACCCGACTGCATTGTAAAATGTATATAAATTTATGAAAAGGAATTCTAATAATGTAAGAAATAAAAATCTCAAAAAGTACTATACAAATAGCGTGCCTTATGTTCATCTGAACTAAGTAATATAAGGAATTACAGTTTGAAAACCTACTGTAATTAGATACTGAAGTTAAAATGCTCAGCAGAAATTCAATATACTTCTAAATGCTGCAGCCTTACCGTTCCATTACATTCATATTCCTTGTCTTTTCGTACTGATAAAAGCTTCTCCAAAGTAAATTTATCCAGTCATATTGAGGATCATACTTGTCACCCAAAAGATAACATAACTCTAAATTATGCTCAGTTTTCTTCTTCTTTTCTATAGGAAATGAGAATGATCTTCTATCGTCTGAACAAAGGCACCTGGCCTACTGCAAAAATGAAAAAGCTTGTCCATTACTGTTTGTCACATTGGTAGATAAACTCTTGCCTATGAAGGTCCTAAAAGTTGTTTTATTACAGTACAGTCAACTGTTTGGATCAAATCCACATTCATATTGATTTGCTAGCTGCAAATAAATCCCACTGTACTGCCAGTACAGTTTTCTTATATTTTAACATTATTCACCAAAAGCTCCATTCTTCTGAGTTTGCGCTTATTCTTTGGCATTGGCTTGTCATATAAGCCATTTTTGAGAAGATGCTCCTTGCTGTGATGGATCTGGGCACCATGTTGAAGCTGGAACGAACATAAAGCTTGAAGTGGACGGAGTATAGTCTGCAGAAAGATGAAGGGGTGGGGGGAAACAAAAAACCCAACCGTTTAGTAAGCTATTTTAGACACATCAAGTATTCCAGGTTTTGTATTCAAGGACTACTTAACAGTGCTGATAAAATGTAACCTTTGGAGACACAGAGAGCACAGCTGAGTAACAGACGTACTAAAAAGAAGCCACATAGCAGACATATATCCACCTACCTGCTGTCGTCCCTTACTCCTTCCTTTGACCCACTCAATCCTAACTTCAGTCCCAGCTACATTACTGTAAGTTATGGCTTTAACTTGACCTTAGCAATGGACTACAATCAACTACTGCGGCTCAGCCAACAAGCTGTAATAAAGTAAGCAACAAAAACTAAGCTGTTTGTGCTTACATGTAAACACCTTGAGGCAAGATTTTAGAAAGAGAGAAGGGACTCATGATCAAGGCAGCTATCCTGGAGACTGGACTGTATCCCTGCTTCTGCCCAGCAATATTATGTAGGACTAATGAAGCCACACAAACCAAATTTATCTCAAGTGGTTCCTAATTGTAGGTTCTTCATTTTCTGGTTGCCTGACTCAGTATCACGGGGGCTCATGTGCAGATGTGTAAAGCAATCACAAATGTAACTGCAGTCAGCAGGAGCTGAGTTTCTACCAAGTAAAATGTGACTCTTCTGAGCACACAGAAAAATCAAATTACTTATATTGAGCATCAAACTAAGTGCCCATTTTTAACTTCCACAGCTCTCGATTTCCATTTGCCATCTTATATGCTGGGAATAGCACCCATTTAATTCAGAGAAGGTATTAAAAAGTGCATGAATGTTTATGAAGCTCTTGGCTATTGCAACGTTTATAGAAGCACCTTTGAGAAAATGATCATTTTGTCTTTGAAAAGTAGGCTGGGCCAATTCTGAGTGGTAGGGATAAAACAGAATACAGGACTGGGAATTGTAGACACTAACAAAACATTCACCCTGGAAGTGAATAAGACAGAAGTCCTAATGAAGGAAAAATATGCCAACGTTGTCCTAGCGCACCAAAGGTAAAAGTGAATATACAAAACCCACTTTAATTTCAGTATTTCTAATTTTCATGGGTTTAACTTCTACAATAATTACCTTCTTTTAACATAAAAAAAGCATATGATAGACACACTGTCGTAAAAGATACACAAGTTTCTAGAAAAGTTTCTTTACGCAGAGTTCCAATTTCTGAGCTGTATTTTCTTGTGTGGCCACACACTTTGCCCCCATCTGATTCTAAATGCAATCGATTAATGTTGAGGTGACTCTCTAGTGTCACAGAGGCAGACACAGGGGTGGCATACTCTACACTATGCCAATTTCAGAAGCAGTTTTTGACCTGGGAACCTTTTTTAGTCAGGTACCAAGATACTCATTACTTGATGGAGAGGGATATGAGCATCCCAGGGTGGACACTAGAACGTAACAAATACATGGATGAGCTTTAAATCTCTTTCACATACCCTTCTGGACTACATTCTGGGCACACAATCAGATTGCAGACCTGGGTCTATGTTGCAAAACGACTCATAGGTCTTTTTCAAAAGGCTTATTAAATTGATATTACTAATGTCAGCAACAAAAGATTAAGAAGGACGTTATCTTAATAACCTCTTCCATCACAGACTAGTAGGATCACAACTTGCAACGAAAAGGCTAATGTCCAATTAGTATTCTTTGACCTGGGATAAACTTAAATTCAAGAACTGTTAAGTCCCAAATTCCTCCAATGACATGCAAGAGTTGTGAGCTGGCTGGTAGGAAGATACAGCCCAGCGGGTTGGATTCCATGGCTGCAGGAGTGCAGGAGGTCAGTGGGACAGGCTTACAAAAGCATTCTAACTTCGAGCTAGCTGTGAGGGGGTATTCAGATCATCTCTGCTGTCTAGTTTTTGCAGAAAACAACTTACTACTTTCCATGCAGTAATATACTCAATTGCCTGTTTCCAACTGGATCAGCTTTTGGGTTTTTGAGAGTCAAAGATCACCTTGCTGTGCTGTGACTTCAGAGGATCATTTAAAAATACGGATCTATTAAACAAGATAATTAAAAATACGGATCTATTAAACTAGATAATGGTCATTTGACTCCAGTAAATATTCCAAGAACAATACATGCTAAAAAGGAAATTAATCCTACCTGACTGCTAACTCAGTGAAACTTTTTAGAGTCTAGCACCAGTTATTCTCAATGACATTTGTCAGCCCAGTATTTTTAAATTCAGGTCTTAACTGAAGAAGTTAACTATAAACTTAAAGGTAGTTAAATACTTTCATATCCTATGTAAGAGAGATAGAAACTTTACTGATACTAATCTCCAAATTTTCTTAAGTTTCTCACACCTTGGAAATACTTTTCCTTTTTAACAAGTTGTATCCAAACGGATTTTACAAATTCCCAAGAGCCTCAACTGATAGTACCTGAAGTAATACCATTCTCCACTACTAGAATATGAAGAGACTGGTGCAAATATCTGAATGTTGCTACAACAATTTTGTTCTCAACTGAAGTAAATAAATATTTTAAGGTGTGCATACATATACACCGCCTCCTAACATCTATTATAAGATGTACAATTTAAAATTAATAAACTCTCCTGACTTTAAGTGGCTTCAGGTCTTACCTACTATTAGGAAAAAGCACAAGAAAGTCAATGGCACAAAGCCTTCGAGAGCCAGCACAAAAATTTCATTCCAAACACTGCTTGCCACGTTATTCAGTACCAATGAATAACTAATCAACTAAATAATCATCATGCTTTTATGGCTTCATGAAAATTAGACATCAGAGTGATTATAGGCTATAATCTCTGCCAAGTTTACTAATATCTTCCTTTGCTACAAAATACTAATCATACTTTAGACTGAGTATAACTTTGGTAATGTGAGAGTGCAACATGTAAATTGCATACATTACAGCAACTGAACAGTTGTTAACTGTTAATTATAGTTAATTAACATAGTACATAAAACAAAGTAGTTTTCAACACACTCTAGTTAAGAAATACCCAAAAGAAAACTGTTTAAAAAAAGAAAATCAACCTAGCATGTCACATTTGTACAATTTAGTATATTACACGTGCCTGGTACACAGTCTATGTTTTGAAGTTTTGCCATAAGAAATGTCAAGGGAACTTAGAAAAACATCACAGGAAGAGATAACTACAACAGTGCATCTCTGCACTATTTGACCTGCAATATACATAGTAGTACTTCTATTTGTTTTGGGCTAAATCCCCAACTGTCATCTCTACAGATTTTTATTCTGTATTGTGGCAAGCACAGCATATATTCGGTGCCTTATAAACCAACTTTTCTTAAAAAGTAATGTACAGGTGAAGAGAATCTGAGTCACTCTTCTCATTGTATTTAGAATTACAGGAAGAAGCGTGCAAGAAAGTAATACAGGATGAGAGAATGTGATGGGAAAGAAGAATGAGGTAGAAGGAAAAAAGGAACTGGACTTCTGAGTTAAAAATGCATAAAAGGTACAAGAGAGAAACAGTGAACAGAAAAGACAAATGAAAAAAAGAGGGAAGAAGAAAAGTGATATTGAGTAACAAGTACAGGAAAAAGGGAACTCAAATCCTGAGACAAATGAACCTGAAGACTGCACAGTGAAAACTTGTAAAAGTGGAAGTGTCTGGGAAAGCATTAGACAACTGAAGAAGAAGAAAAAAAAATCCCTAAGGGAAAAAGAGGAATTGAGGAGATGGGTTGGGAAGGTAGCAGTTGTTTTCAATAACCAGTCTATTACTCCATACGCAAAACGGGCTACCAGGGTAAAACTGGTCTGTAAGATAAGTGGACAGCATTCAGCCTTGATGGACATTGCAGCACCAAATACAATCTGTTACAAGACATGATCTGACCTTAACTGGTACTTTAAACATCATCAAAGCAAGATTTTTAGCCCTGAATCTTGCCCAGGTTTATCTTCAGACAACTCTGTGGCAAAAGAGCCAATCTAATTCTATTATGGGATAGAACAAAAAATACCATACTAGAATTTAACATACTGAAAAAAGGAATAGCAAAACAATCATTCAAGACCTTTGTATCTAATAAGTTCCCTCAGTAACCTGACAACAATGTTGAATAAAGAATAGGAAAACTAGAGAGACTTCTGGAACATGACAAGAAAGAGTCACAGTAATCTGAATATACTAGAGTTAATAAATAGCTGAAGAAAAATAGTTTCTATTGGTACATTCTTGTTTTAGCTTGCTATGCAACAAAACCATTGCAATATCATTAAGATTTTGACTGTCAAATGTGACATTAATAGCTAAGTACCTTTGCTGTCCCTTCCCTCTACTAGTCATAAAAGAAAAACTTGGATGTTTAAAATTACCTACCTCTTGTATACTCTTATTTTTTTCCATGATAGTAAGAGCAACAGCTGCACATTCAAGCGTAGACAGACAGGTGTTTGTTGGCTGTGTACGAATTACATATTGACTTGAAATGTTGGTTTTTAACTGCACCTGAAAAATAGCAAATTCTACTAAAATAAACAGATCAGTATAGCAAACAAGACACTTCTTCCGTACACTAAGCAAAATACAGCCCCTTCCCCTCTGTGGTCAGTTGCCTTCTTTCCTTTTTGCTGTTTCATAGCCAATGACCTTATGCTACTGTTAAGTATAACATTATAATACCCCTGAGTTGCCATCAGAGACAAGAATTGCATATTTGTTACTGTACAAACATGTGAAGAAAATACTATTGTTTGTTAGAGAAACTAACTGAGTGAAATTTTAGCAACCAATTTCAGTTACCATAGATATCCTAGAACAAAACTAAAATTATTAACTTATGCTTGGTTTATTGCACGCTCCAACACACACACCAATGACTGTATAGTCACTGACACTACTTACCTTGGTTAAATATTATTTGTCAAGTTCTGAATGAAAGACTTTTAGAAATTACATTTACTCATATAATGTACTAGGTTACCAATTAGAACTATTCGCTTACCTAAATCATGTTTGAAAATTATTTATTGACTCTGCCTCAAGTGATAAACACTCTACACTATCTCACAAGTTAAAGGTTTTTAAGAAAAAGAAATTTAATTCAACCACTACACTGCCTGTTTTATCACCTCCAAAAGCTTTTACTGAATTTACAAACAGCATTGAAACATCATAGAATTTACATTATTAGACTTTGTGTGAAAATTCAGATATTATTCTTTTATTCCTAAAATTTCTATCTCCACATATGTTTAAAATATAATTTGCCAAACAAGTTAATGTTTTAGCAACATTGTCACTATTCTTAACCAAAAATTATCAGTTCTTTTTCAAAAAAATTGTAGTACAGTACAATAAACCCTAAGGAATTATTATAAAAAAGCAAGTCAATTTTCTTTTTTTTAAACTCATCCCAGCTATTGTCTTTTATTTTTCCTTCTCATCAAAAAAATGAGTGACTGTTCCCCATGGCCATAATAATATTGCTCCCATTCTGCTTGCCAGAGGTTTTTCAGCATTCCTCACTTCATTCAGTATTTTCCCTTTTCCCTTTTCCCATTTTTGCTTTTATTTGTAATGCTTCATTTTCCTTCATCTCTTTTACATGCAATCACCCATTCTTAAAAGTTCAAGATATCTCATTTATAAAAGGGAAACTCCAAGCTGCTGAAGAAATGTGAATGAATAAGATCAAATTCCAGTGCTTTATCTGATTCCAATGTAATGGGAATTAAAAATAAATAAATAAAAAGAAGGCAACAAGGGAAGAGGAAAGCCATTCTGGAAAGGACAAATAAGTTAGCTATAAAAGTTCAGTACTCAAATATAGGACAAGACAGAAAAATGTACCTTTGTGACAGAAGTTCCTAACTTGTTTATCAAAGGAAACTTTTCTTTTTTAAATGCTAGTCTTGTTATTGGGTAGGCTTGAAGGACCAAAACATGCACATTTCAGAATGTTTTAAAAGTTTCCAGCAAGGATTGTTTAGATAGTTTGGAGAGATAACTTTCAACAGCCAAAGAACACACACTTGGGTTGAGAAATTGAGATGAATGCATGTTAATTATGTAAAGAATACAGCATACTAACATTATGATTTTTGCATTATATAAAAATACATTTGTATTCTTTTCACAACTGTAATACTGGAGGTGTCATTTTAATTAAATAATTTTAAAATCATATCTTCCAAAATCCATTTTGCCCCCTTGAGTGAAGATCGATGCTTTTGCTATTTTAAGGCTGCTTACCATAATAACTACCTGGAATGCACTGTAGTTTTAATCAGGTTATACAACTACCAACTGTTAATTAAACTGAAAATGCACCAGTGGTCTCAAAGCACATATAAATGTATCTTTCCTGAACATACTTACTATTTTTAGATATTTGAAAGTAAAGGTTACAGGTGATTATATATATGATATATAACAGAGCTATTTCCTGCAAATACAATGGTCATCTCCACTTAAAACTAATCTTCATTTTCTGCAGCTATTCAGCATATTTCTGCAAATGAATTGGCAAAATGTATGACAAATTACTCAATGAATGCCTATTACTTACTATAAAGTCAAACCTGATATTTTGTATTTAAAGCCAAGATAGTTGAAGTAGTTGATTATTTCACGTTTGCAAACTCAGGGTCTTTAGTCTCTAGCTCTGTACTCTGACTTGAAAGAAAAGAATTTATACCTAGCACCTCATTAGCAGATTATTCTTGCTATTACACTATTCTAGAAGTCTATCATATAATCTTTAATTTATAGTCATACTGTAGAATTTTTATCTACTGTATGAAAGATGTTAACAGTTACTTGGATAGTCAACAGCAAACTCAGTCCACATGCTGGGGAACAGATCCAGGGCAGATTCAAGAATGAAGCGAATGGATACATACTAGCTTTTATCAACTACCTTCTTCAATTTGGTATTAAAAAATCAAAAAGAGAATAAATTGATTTAGGATAGAAAATGTAGAATTTGGACATCAGTGTATGTAATGAAATGCAAAAGAAAATTAAAATGAAATTAATATTTTCATTTGTGGTTCCTCAAGGTTTGCTTTGGTTTTATGCTCCCTTTACTGGGACCATGTATGGATCTCCATCATGACAGAGTAGGAAGGCTAATTATTTCCGGTATACAGAGATCTATGCTGGAGGGAGCTTTTAGTCCCTACTTAGAAATTCCTACATAGGTATTAAAAACCAGGGTAAACTCAGTCCATTGTTTCTCCAGCATGTATCCTAAGCAGCAGGGCAGAAACACATCCACACTTTTTCTCAACATCTGACAGCCACATTCTTCATAGAGCCTCTCTACAGTGATTGAGAGAAACCACCTCATGGACTACTTGCAGGCACACTGGCTTCCCCCTCCTCGGACACAGACAACAGTGCCTTAAGGGTTTTTTTTGTAGGAGCTGGGGATAGTTCTGTCTGCTGTTTTCTACACTTCATTTCTTGGGGCTTATGCTGAAAAAACTTTTAAGATCATCAGCAATCCAGAGAAAGGAAAATTATTCATGATTGCAAGAAACTTCTATGAAAGAAAAGCTGCCTGCACTCCACCTTACACGGTGTAGCCAAAAAGTCGGTAAGTGCAGCTCTCAAACAGCTGACATTGTACGAAGGGACAACTTCCGATTTCTAACAGAACAGCAGCAGCCAGCAAATTTCTTCATTCCTGGGGACAGTGACAGAGGATGGAAACAAGTGGTCCCCATCCACTTTTCTGAAAAAGGACATATTCACTGGGATGAGATGAAAATACCACAGACAGACAGCACAGTGGTGGAGATCAGAGGAAGAATACCTGACCAGGACAACTCCCTGCTATAGTTTGTCTCTCAGGCTTCTTTCAACAAACATGCATTTTACCCTACTCTTTACTTCAGAGAGGCACAGTGTCTCAGTAAGAGATCCTTAGTCACCTGAAATACAGGCAGGGTAGCCTTTATCACAAATTGGATAGGCTCACTAAATGACTGATTGTCTATCAGAAACTAGGTACACTTACTGAATGAATAAAACACACAAAGAGGAGCTCTATCAACTTAGAGCATAAACTGAGTGGTAAGACAAAGCCAAAACAATATAGAAAACAAAACAAATTAATACAGTTAATACATATTTCAGACATGGGAAGAATATCTTCTAGAGAAAAAATTGCTTAGGTATATGAAATATTTACTGTTCTCAAATGTGATTGGGTAGGAGGACAACTTCACTCATTTTCAGCCAACAGGTCTAAAACTTGCCTTGCCTTTTGTGGAGTTAATAGCTTCAGGCAGCGTATTGCAACAGTCTCATTAAAGCTTCTGCACTACCTAGATGGATTGATTCTTTGTCTGTCACCTGCATACCTCAAATCCAGCTGAACAAGCTTAATTCAAAGTTACAGAAATGTTCCTCCACAGTTAATGTAAACAAAATCACATCATCTACCCCTTACATTACACTTCAGAAACTCAGATTGAGTATACATAAATACTCTATTTAAGTACATTTCAAAACAACAATCATGATATTTTATAACCACTTCTCCATAAAAAGATAAAGATACCATGATACAACAATTTACTTTTTTTTTTAGCTGTCAAAGTAATTTGCAAATCATATGCACACTTTGGAATAATTTCAGTTACTAACAAAATACAGCAATGTCAAGTTGGAAAAACAGCAGCCTATTTAACACCACTCACCAAAATAAACAATAGCGTAAGACAGAAGATGGAAACTATCTCAACCAATTCAAACTAGAGAGAGGAATTTAGATAAGCTGAATGCAATTACTCACTGGAATTTAGCCAAGACACTGAAATTAGCATAACTATTCTCTTTATAAGTGCAAGGGAGTTTGGGGGCTTAGTTTCCAAGCCATCAGAAGCATGAAGCAACACATACAATCAACTTTCATTTCTATGTGTAACTCAAGACCCAGCGTTTCCAAAAGCCTGAATGTCAGCAGTTCTCACAAACTGTTACATTAACTTAATAAACACTGGCTTCTCTGCCAACGCACCATCCTCTTAGCAAATGCTACAGCCTTTGAGCATTTGCAAAGGATTTGAACCACAGTAAAAATAGTGACTCTTCAGTATTTCTCAGGGCTGAGTTGTTCTTCCATGGCCCCCTTTGGAGATGCCCCAGGCAAGTGACGACCCAGCTGATCCTGTTCAGCTGTTCAGAACTGATGGAAGCAGAAGTATTGCCTTGATGGGGTTGATGCCTTGATGCCTGCTGTTTGAAATTTTAAAAATTTAAGTCAGTAAAGACAGGCAACTGATTTCTGGTCTTATTTTAAATATTAGTACGGGAACTCTTGCAGAAAGCTTTAAGTGCTGTCCGCTGTCCTCTCCTTAATGTCAATATCCTTATCTTTTTACCTTTTCTGTGCCAATTTCTTCATCATTACTTTTACTTCCTTTACTGTCCAAACAGAATCCAGCATTATGCAAAATTATATTTGGAAAATAGTGCATCCCCAAGAACACAGAAAG